TTCCTTCTGCCTTTGGTTCTGTGGTGGTGGGAGGTGGTGGATGAAGGGCAGGATGTGTTTGCTCTGTCCCAGAGCTGGAGCTGCACTCACACACTGGGCACACCCAGCTCAGCTTATCCTGAGCTTACCCTGTTCTTTGGGGTCCTGCTTTGGTGACCACACTCCTGCATCTCTTTGTTCAGGACAAAGGTGACACTGCAGGGAGCCCGGGATGCCTCTGCATGGAGCTGAGCATCCAGTGCAGTGAGCAGATGTTTCCATCACAACAAAGTTGTGTTCTGATGCAATATCCACTGGAGTTACTTCAAGAAGAGTGGAAGTAGAAGAGAAACCAAAAGCAAATGTTAAAGAGAGAAATACAGTAATAAAAGAGTGCTATACAAATCTCAGGGTATTGGAAGAATTGGGGTGAAATAGAAAGCTCTCCAAAGTATTTGGTGTGGAGAAAAACCGATGAAAAGGTTTGTTTCATCCATCAGAGAAAACTAGCTTGGTTGCCTGGGCCCGAGAAAGCTGTAGCTGTGTTATTTGTGGGAGAGAGCAGTAATTCATGTAAGAGGAGACCTCCACCACATTCAACTTCTCGTTTTTCCTTGGTAAACCAACCTTGAAACTTCTGCTTGTGGAAAAACTTGTCAAATCTCGTCACTCTGAACTATGAAAAGACGTGTGATGTGAAAGTGGGGGGTTTGTCTCCTGTGTTGGACAAATGCCAGCGTTCTGTTGGCTGAGGCCTGTGCTCTGATACGATGCTGTTTCTTTGGTTTTCTGATTTTTTTAGCTAGTGTTGGAACTGCAGTGGTGGGAGGCAGACACAGGATCCTGGATCTTGGTTTCTTGAGTGTTCCAAAGCAAGGGCAGAGCTTTAGCAGTGGAGGGGTCTCTCTGGTGTAGCTCTGTGCCTGTCACCCGGGGCAGTGCCACTCTGGATGGAGCGTGGGGGCTTCCCAGGGGCTGGAGGGTCCTGGTCCTCCCTTGCTCTTCCCAGGGCAGTGTGTGTAGCCAGCGTGGCACCAGTTTTATCTTGGATGTGTGGTGTTGCAGAGGGAAGAGCGTAGGAAGCTCTGGAGAAGTGACTTTTTAGTTCTTTGAGCCTTGGTGAGATGTGAGCTGTGTGTAGATGAGTCTGTTTGGTGGGCACTGATGGGTGGTCAGACAGGGAGTGGAGATAAACATAGGGGAGAAAGAAGGTGTTTTCATTATAGTTACAAAGATCTGTGTGAGAACAGGAGAAAATGAGCACTGAATCTGTACTGAAATCCCTCAGAAAACAGAATGGGGGAGCTGAGCCCTAGCCTGAATTTTGGTGTGTCTGCAGTGGGCAACCTCAGTCTGCTGTGGCCGTGTCATAAGGGGTATCTGGGTGGCAGAACTGTGTTAATTCACTGCCTCATCTGTGTACCCTGTCTCATAATTGACTTGTTCCATAAATTTAAAAATACCGAGAAAATAAATGTTAACACATTGTTTTTTTCTTTTTTTTTCTTTTTTTTTTTTTCAATGAACTTGCTCACTGGCTGGGCTGTGACCTTTGACAAGCTGCTTTGGCTCAAGTGGCAGCATTTACACAACACTTCAGTGTTGTAGCTCTCTGAGTAAGCTGTGGGGTTGTAGAATCAACTCCATGTATTTCACTTTCATTTCATGTGTTCAGGGTGATTTACTTCTTTATTAAAAACAAAGTTAGATTCATCTCTGAGGGAATGGTCAGTGAAAGTGGAACTGGTATATTTTAATAGCAGATTCATATTACTTGTAGTTAATTGGAAGGCTGCTGCTGGCAAGTTCATAAATGTGTAGGAGAACAAGATTATCCTGATGTTTCAAAGAGAAAGGATTTTGTATTGAAGACTGGGATTTTTATTGTGATTAGGAAAAGGGAAGTTTCTGTGAGAAGGTGGCTTTTTTCTGATGTAGTGGTTAACTTGAATTTCATTTTTTTTCATAGCTTTTTTGTCAGACAAATAATGGGCAGGTAACAGAAAGCACCGTAGCACTGGCAGGGTGGATAATCTTTGAGAGGGGTGAGATGTATTTTTATTGCAAGAAAAACAGTAACACATTTAGTTGGACTCTTACTTGAAGTACAGAAGTGCTAGAAGCAAACTGTGTGTGTGGGAGTGTTGTCCCCTCCCTGTCCCCCGGCCAGGAGGTGTTCAGGTGCCAGTGCCCTCGGTGATAATGTTCTGTGCAGGGTCAGTCACTGCATATTCCAGAACAACCTCTGTTTGGAGCCAGGATCTCCAGCAGACACTGGAGAGTTGAGGTTTTCTTCCAGCCTCTGCTGAGCAGAGCAACAGACCCCAGACCTCTGTCCCCTGGTGCTGCTGGATGTGGTTAAACTGATGGCACATCTTTACTTCCATCAGAAGTGGTTTAATTAAGTCAAACCTAAGTGTACACAACCAGCAAGGGTGTGTCACAGGTAAATGTGTTTATAGTTTCTTAAGGGATAAAATGAACTCTAAAGGTAGAATTGCTCTGGAGTTTATTAATTCAGAGCCTGGGAATATGTAAATATCACATGATTATTAGAGTTCATTGCTCCAAGTGCCTCTTCAGCACATAATTAGTTTCTAATGCTGGATGCAAGAAACCCTTTGATCTTTTTTGAGCTTTGATAGCCACGATGGGTGTGTTGGCCTTGAAGAAGCAGTGCTGTCTGGGGTGGAGAAGAGTCAGGGTGGGACTTTGATCAGCAGAACACCAGAGACTCCACGTGCCGAGTTCCAGCTGCCCAGCACAGCCACTGGGGTGCCAGAGATTTTGGCCAACACAGCCTCGTGTTGGCAGCACAATTCAGAGCTGTTCATGTTTTGAGATAATGAACCTACTATTGTTGGGTCTTGTCCTACAGTATTTCTAGTGAATATTGCAGAAACATTTCTGCTAAAAGAATAAAAAGTTTACAAGTGTCATAATAGATCCAAAATAGTGGCAAGAAAAATAGAGACTTTATTATATTGGAACATCTGAAAGTTAAAGTTTTGCTGGCTAATATTTAGCATTAATACATGACATTGATCCTGCTTGGAACTGCTAAGATTGATTTTTAGAGCTTTACCTTTTGAAAATTGTATTCAGTGTCATCTTCAGTCATGAGGCTTGTGTTCACAGACATGCTAATTACATGCTAATATTATTACATGCTAATTACATGCTAATATTATTACATGCTAATACTTTAAAATCAGGCTGTGTTCTGAACAGGAGGTTTTTTTGTATGTGTGTCATTGCTGAAATCATACTTTGACTTTGATTCTGCTTTTCTGAATATTCCATTTCACTGCATGATCTTTTTTTCTGGAGCTATTCAGTGTCAAAGATTAAAATCTGAAGTGTTTACTCACTGGGTATACATTCAGAATTTGTTTGATGGGAATTGCCCTGCTCTGTTAGCTGACAGAAATTAGTATGGCATGTGCTCTCCTCATGAGCATGTGCCCAGTGAGCTAGGAGAGACTTTCCAACCAAGTGTGAGGTTTCTTATTAAAATTGTTTTGCTTTGTTTTAATCCATTTTTCAACTTAAATTTGCTACTGTATGTGGCAAATGAAGCAGGAGGGATATTATGCTTTAATTAGAATTACTGTTGGTGTTGGTGACAAAAATTGTAACTTCTTTCAAAATCCATCTTCATTTTGTTAGTTTTGTTGTAGGAATCAAAGACAAACTAATGGATGAAGCATACATTGAAATTGGCCAAGAAGGATTTAGCAGAAATTGATTTTTATTATGGTTTTTATCATCTTTTAAACTTTTATTTGTACAAAACATTTAAATTGCGGAATATTTAGCTCTGAGGAAACCATCTCCTTTTGTTTCACATCCTCAAATTGAAGTGACTTCTCCAGCCTCATTAGAATATTGTGGCAGAGCAAGAAGAGAATTCTTTCTGAAAAATGTAAGTGGGTGGGTGGGAGTGGTTGTCCTGAAACCCAGAGCAAAACAGTCTTAAGGACTTCTTTGCTTGCCCTGGAAAATGAAAAAAAACCCCAAACCCAAACAATAAACCCTAACCATCCATGGCACTGTTTTTGCTTTCCCAGTTGTATTTCAGGACTCTGACCCAGACTGTGTGAGTTGTGTGCTCTGTGGTGCTCTCAGGGGGATCTAATGGTGTCTCTGGGGTGGCTCTCAGTGGTAGCTCATATTGAGGTTTTATTTTTATATAGTTTAGTTTTGTCCACTGGGCAGACTTTTTTAAAGTATAGTGAGTTTGCATTTTATCCTAAATGGTGAATTAAACTCTTGTCTTGTCAAAGTCTGCATGTGTCAACTCTGCCAAGATATCTCCTGAATTTAGTGTCACCAACCATTATCTCAGTTACATGTTTGTGTTTGCAGCCCCAGGAGGTTTTCCTTCCTCTGTGAGCTGCTTGTTTTATTGTTGTATAAGGGAATGATAAAACATGTTTTTATATGAAATACAGCATACTGATGATGATAAACTTGAAAAAGGCAGGCATTTTTGGAGACTGGCGGAGATCCTGAATCTGTTCTATTTGGAATTGATTTAGATCTCAGCTGGTTGTGAATTATAAGTAATGTCTTCATGGAAATGTCTTTCACAATCACATGACATTGATATTATGTAATTGTGCTTGAGGTTGGCCCAGTAGACAAATGCATTCCATCTTCCAGTTCTGGAACAGCATATCACGAGTGGAAAATGGAATAAAATGTTTGAGGTGCTGTTTGCACGTTGAGCCAGTGGCCTGAAGGAGTTTCCTGCTTTTTGGGGTGTCTTGGCCATTTTGATGTTTTGCCTCCTTGTTAATTTTGCTAAAATGCCCTTTGTTGAACGGGACAAACCCACAGAGTCGTGCACTGATTTGCTTTTGTTTCTGCTCCTTAGACAGTGCCCTGTTGTAAACTAAAATCACGCATTCCTGAGTGCAAACTGATCGTGTTCCCAATGGAAATTTCAGGAATACTTGTGGCTACTTTCAAAACGCGGAAATCTATTTATTTTTTTTTCCACTTGTTTTTCTTCCCAGGTTTTGGCGCTGACGGCGTTCATCTGCATCGAGACCATCATGGAATGCTCCCCCTGCGAGGGCCTGTACTTCTTTGAGTTTGTGAGCTGCAGTGCCCTCGTGGTCACCGGGGCTCTCCTGCTTTTGTTCAGCCTAAACCTTCACACGAGGATACCACAGATCAACTGGAATCTCACTGTAAGTTCCTCCACTTCACTCTGTTAAAAATAGCTGCAAGTCTGGCTTGTTTGGTCTTTGAACTTTACTTTTTGCTGTTGCTTAAGGTTGTGTGAGTGTCCTTTGTGCTGAGTAAAGTATGCATTGTACTTAGATTTATTTTGAATCCAACAGCAGCATGAGCTTTGAAATGTAGCAAGATTAAACTACACTAAATAGAACTAAAATTGACTTCTGGTAGATTCTCTTTGGAAGGAAAAACTTCCTGCAACTGCCAGCAATTACCCTTTGTGGATGAAGTGGACAAAAATGCAGCCTGTGGTTATTTAACTTTGACAGATGCTGTATTTACAGTAGCCTGTTGTTCTCTTAACCTAGGGTTTTTTTATATTAGGACAAATGTGCTACATATATTTTCTTACACAGATTAATACAATCATCGGGCAGGAGTGTATAAAATGATGTGCTTTCTGTGAAAATCAGGTGTTTTGAATTGCTTACACACATGACTATTAAACATTGACTGCCAATGCTCTAATGTGTTCTCAGATCTGAGGAGGCTGAGGAGAACTGCTGGCAGTGCACATTCCTGTTGTACAAGTCTCTATTTTCATGCTGTATTAGGAGTTAAACTTTCAGATTGGGTTGCATAAACACAGGTCACAAAATCAACATGTTAAGTCACTCTAGCAAAAGATCTGTCAGCTTCAAGGACAATATATCAACTTCTCTGGACAGTATAGATACAGTTGTGCCAATGTTTTATTTTCTAACAGTAATTATATAAATACTGTTAGCATCTCAGACGTTTTTAGGCTTCTGTGTGATTTTTTTTTTTGGTTAATTTTTTTAATGTAATTTATTAATGTTGCAGTTTGCTTCATTTCTAAGCCTGAATGACTTGTCTAAAATGAGAGTGGAATGTGAAATTAAATGATCCTTTGTGCTCTAGGGCTGCATAATCTATTGATGAACTCCTAAGAGTCTTGGTGTATAGATCAGATGGACTGAGAGCTGTAGCTGGGGCTGTAGGTGGGGCAGATCCAGGTGGCTTGCAAAGCAAAACCAGTGGAACCCCTGGAATGTTCCTGGGTTGTCTTGCCCTTGTTCTTTTGGTTTTCATTCTGCCTCTGTTGGCACCACAGACCTTTGCAGCCAAGCTGAAGAGCAGCAGGGAGGAGGTGCTCTGTGTTTCTGTTGCCAGCCTGGGTGTGCATGAGCATCACAGCAGCTACTGCAGACCATCTTTTATGGCAAAAGTTCTGGACATGCTGGTAGGATTTTCAGGAGCAGAACAAGTGTGTGTGAGTGCAGCAGTGTCCATAAACCCATATTGTTCTTGCTGGTGTGATGGGAGTGGATCCACAGGGAATACATACCTGGCTTATGTGCAAAGTGAGTTTGACCAAGACCTTTTCAGTGCCCTCAGGGGTGGTGTGTGTGGTGTCCCTGCAGGAGCTGGAGCTGTGTCTCTGGATGTGCCCCCAGGGGTGGGGTGTCTGGTGTCCATGCAGGAGCTGGAGCTGTGTCTCTGGATGTGCCCCCAGGGGTGGGGTGTGTGGTGTCCATGCAGGAGCTGGAGCTGTGTCTCTGGATGTTCAGTGACTTCTCACACCCTCGGTTCTGTAGCTGTACCTGTGGCTCTGTTGTGGATCCCTGTGGCACAGTTACTGCCCAGCACATCTGGCAATGTGTGGGACATCCTTGAGTGCAGCAGCCTAAATGCAGCTCTGGGCCTCTCTCCTCAGAGGATGCAGCAGATCCCTTTGTGTCACTGCTAGGTCCTTCCAGCCTCTCTGACTTCTGATGGTACTTGAGAGGCAAGAATTGTCACTTTGAGGTGGTGTTACCTGTTTCTGCATAGCACTCTGTTAGGAGATTTTTAGGGAAAGGAGGGCTTAAAAATCCAACCAGTTGGAGTTTTTCTTTTTCTTTTTTTCCCCCTTTGTTTTAAAAGAGTATTTTGGTTTTTGGGCAGTGGTCATGCTCTGCCTAAGCAGCACAGTCAGAGTTCAACCCAAAGAGCACATGGAACACACTGCAAAGGCCTTTGCTTTAGTTCATATTCCCAGATCCACGGATGTGGAAGGGAATTGTCACAGTCTTGCAGGTCTCAATCTTTTATGAACTAGTGAAGGTGAAATGCTTCTTTCATCATGATACCAAAGCTGTCCACCAGCAGTGAGAAGGGAGCTGGAAGCTTGTGTCTTCCAGTAACTGATGAGAGCATCCTTCTTCCTGTATTTCTTATTGATTTAACAATCACTTGTGTGACAGGACTGTTACTCTGCCAGAGTGAAGGAATATCTTCATTAATCAGAAGGATTAAGGACCATTCTGTGATTCTGCAGCAGCTCTGCTGTTGAACACACGGAATGTGAGCTCAAAGGCTGCTGTGGGAGATCACTTCGGCCAAGTTAGTAGGAAATTTAAGAATGTAGGGTTGTGACTGATTTTTTGTTTGTTTGTTTTTACTTATTTTGGCATTTTATTCTTTACAATTTAGACCTATATTCATACATTTGCTTCTGGCAATATATATTCCTTTCCTGTGTTTGATGGTTACTTTTATAAATTTGCAACCTCTGTCTGTGGCACAGTTACTGCAGGAGTTGCTTTCTGAACAAGACTTTGAATGCTTTAGGAGGAAGTCACTCCTGCTTGTGTATAAATTCATCAACATACATGCTTTTAAAAATATATTTGACTTTGTAATGGAAAGTCTCAAATGTTGCTTTTAGAAGCTGTGTGAGAAGAGGCTGTTACAGTGCCTGAAGGAATTTAATAGTCTTGAATTTAGGAACACTTATTTCTTTTGCAACAGCACTTACTCCTAGGAACCATTTGAAACTATTTGCTTTCAAATGGTCCTACATATTAGAAAGTATGTGGCCATCAACTGCCATTGTCCAACACAGGATTGTTTCCTTTAAAAGCTGAGTAAAATTAGAATTCTTTCTGATGCCTTGTGGATATTGCCTGATGCCCACTGTTGGAATGAAAACATGGATCTGTATATGATCCTCTAATAGACAGGCTATTTTTTTTTAAACACATATTTTTAGCCATTTGGGGAAGAGAGATTGTTTTGATCCTAATTAGAGACTTGCCAGCGATTTTCCTGTTTTCCTGAGGCAAACATGCAAGAAACCTGGAGATGCTGGGGCCAGAAAAGAACCTTGCTTGGGTATGTTGGAAAGAGGCTGGTTTGTTCAGGAAGATGAAAGAACAGTCACTTGTCTGTGTTGTGCAGCACTGTCAATGTTATGCAAAAATGCAAAAGCTGGGGAACCTGTCAGTGGAAATTTCCATTTCCTTGATGCTCAAAGGGAGCCTATTCTGCAGGGAGACAGGGGTCAGGGGAATGGAGAGCACAGCACAGCAGAGGCTCCTGCTTAACCAGTTACTCAGCTAGTAACTAAAAACTGAACGTTTGATGTAATTTTGGCTTTGGCTAAATGATCTGTTCTCTCTAAAATTCACTCTTTGAATCTCATCTGATCTGCAGGGAGAGCTTAAGAAGTGGCAGCCAAGCTGTGTGCCGAGCTGGCCCTGCAGGATCAGCCAGTGCAATGAACTATTTGAGTGTAAGGGGAAAAAAAAACATCTTCCCAGAGATTTCTTACCATTGATTTTTTAATTTTGTTTTTTCATTTTTCTTTTTTTCTGAAGCACTCACTGGAACTCTGGTGGTGTATTTGGTGTGAATGTAGAGAGCATTTCAGCCTAGAGCAGCCTCAAAAGTGAGGCCTAAAGTGGGCACAGCACAAAATCGGAGTTCCACTGGGCTCGTTGGGCTGGACTCAGTGCCAGGGAGGACGCACAGGGACCCAGGTGTGTGTATGGGAACACACAGATCAGTCCTGGTGTTTTGTGCTGCCTCAGAACCCATTTCATCATCTCTGCAGGGTTGTTTTTTGCTGTTGTTGCAGCAGTGAAACCTTGTGTGCAAGCACTGACACTTGAAGGAGTTGGCAGAGAATTCCCCGTGGTGCCAGAATGACAAAGTGTCTCCTGCCAGCCTTGGCTCTGGAAGGTGGAATCACAAAGCTGTAGTTCATGGGCCTTCACAGGACAATCAGGATTTAGATTTTTATTTTTAGTTTATTTTTTTCCCCTTCTGTTTTGAAAAAAACAACTTGCTTTGGCTTGCTTAGCTGTTGAATGAAAAATTAAGTAAGTCACTCTTGACCTCTCTGTTTACTGCTGTCAAAATAGCAATACTTATTGAGGACAAAAATGCATATTTTATAAATTTTAAAAAATTGCCAAAATTAATTTCCTCTGGATTATTGCTCGGGATTACTGTGCTTTAACACAGGCTCCCACAGCTGGGTAAGCCTAAATAAATAAGGAAAAAAGGAGATGGGAATTCATGCTCATACTGTTAATTTGGTTCTTTCTACCTAGGACTTATTTTTGTTCGAGGAACCATGTTTAAATTTTTAATTGAAGTGCAAAATACTCAAAAAGTGTTTAATAATGTGATTTCAGAGCAAAATTGTGAGAGTTTCACCAGAAGTGATTGGTTTAGAGGACTGATTGGTGTGTTTGTGACCTTCAACCTGATAACTTCATATAGAAGCAAGGGGGAAGTTCCCCAACCTTGCAAGTGAGGCAGTGGTTGGAGGAAAAATGAGGGGCATTGTACAAAAAAAAAATATTAAAAATTCATAACCACACTCCCCCTTCCTTCCCCTGCCAACTGAAAAACAAACCACCAAACCCAAAGAGAACTAAAAGGAAATGTTACTTTGGGCTCTCCTGTGGAAGATAACCTGGACACCTTTTGTGGCACAATCAGGCTGCTGAAATGTGCAGGCTTCTTTTCCAGATTACATTGATTTAGCTGCTTTAAACTCCACCTAAATGTACACTTTTGGATTTCAGAAGGCAAATGACAAAAGCAGCCACCAGTTTAAATGACATACTTTTGTGTACAAGTTGTAATATGGCACTTTCTGCCTTTTAAATAGTGCCCAGTTGCTTATTTCACCACGAAATACAGAATACAAAGGCAGAGCATGCATTGTTATTGAATGTTTCTGAAAAGTTTGTGTGTGTGAAGCCATGGGGAGCTGTGGATAAAGGCATGTGGGTATTACTGGAGCCTCTGAGCATCAGAGCCCCTTCCTGGTGAAGCACCAACCTGGAAGGCTGAGCAGAAGCTTTCAAAGCTGAGGTGCCTTGGGTTTCATAAGTTACCTAATGAGGCTCTTCAGGTCTGTTAAGTTCTTAGCACCAATTCCTCTTTTCCATCCTCATTGATCAGGAACCAAAGCTGTCCAGATCCCTAAAAATGAAAGAATGTAGGATGGCCACAGACTCACAGAATGGAGTTTTCCCCCTTTACAGCAGAACAAAAGCATCCTGTTTTTTAGCATAAAACACTTACCTTGGCATCAGCCCATCTTCATCCACAAGTGATGACATCTCCTCTCCTTGTGCTCCTTCTGAGGGGGACAGACACCAGATATAGGGCCGAGGATCCCTCCTTTGGCCTGACAGGACCTTGGTGAGTGGACAGAATGACTCAGATGGGACTCGATGATCTCCAGCTCTTTTCCAGCCTCGGTGATTCTGTGATTCTGGGACTTGCAAGTGAGTTGTTCCTTTGAGATCATTTGGGACAGGAGAAAGGGAGCAGGAGCAGCCTGGAGTGGCTTTGATTCAGCTCCTGGGTCTGATTGTGTTGTGGCTGGCAGCTCTGCTCAGTGTTCCATGGCACAGCACACTGTCTCATGAGGTTGCTGCAATTTCAGCAGAAATTCTTCTACCTCTGTGATGTGGTTTTACTTTGTCTATAAATATAATAGCAAGAACTTCAGCTACATCGTGGCCAGATTTGAAACAGCTCATCTTTTTTCAATTAGTTTATTCTTCTTATTGTCACGATTGTTCATTTTCTCTTACGTGGAAAAAAGGAGTGTCCTTTACTTCTTGAATTCTTGCTGTAGTTTGTTTTCTTTTGTTTCTGCTCTGACTTTGTCCAAAACCATTGTGGGTTTTTTTTTAACTTTTCTTATCTTTCTGCTCAAATTTTGGATTAAAAACCTCCCCTGAAATTTGCATCTGTGATGTTCCCATTATATATCTGTAGGATAGTGTTGCTGGTAAGTGTCATTGCTCCTCAAGCTCTAAACAATCTGATCTGTGGATATAAAAGATCGTAGTGGTTTGAGCTTTTTAAGAAACCAGCCTTATTGTGCAAATGTGAATCAGTTGTTAATTGCATTAAAAAGGTTTGACCTTAATAGGAAAAATGGAGTTGCAGATATGAATAAATTGGAGCCTCAAGATCAGTTCTTTAGATTTGCATTGTTGAATTTTTTGCAAGGACAAACTTTATTCTTATGTAAAAAGTACCATCAAACACAATGCCAGTGATGATGACAAGTTTCTAATGTACTTATATCAAAGTACATTAGAAAAAGCATTTTATATTCAGTATTTTATATATTTTATATTCTGCAGTATCTCAGACTTCTCAGAGAAGCCTTCAGGTCAGTTTGTAGCCTGGAGATGGGTCACAATGTGTGTTGTGTTGTGGGGAGGCCTGATCATCTTGCTCATGCTTTGGAAAGGTGATCAGGCCGACAGACTCAAAAAGTTAGAGGTCATTAGGGTTAATTAATAAACATATCTGAGCTCATAAATCATGCAGCATTATGTGTCATCCACTTGGCCTTTAAATATGATACTAAGGAAGTCCAAAATGTGGCTCTGAAAAAGCACAGTCTGGATTAGAAGTGAAAAGATAGAATATTAAGCACGTCTTTGGCTACTTGTTCTGTTGGTTTGCTCCCTTAAATTAAAACTCACTTCATTTTGAACATGACTTGTGCCTTAACTTTGCAGCTCTTAATTTTTTTATGCTGTTAATTTTGTTGTGCTGTTTGATGTTAAGCTTTGAAAACAACTCGTATTTTTTGATTATTTGAACACTGGATTCTTCCTTTAACATTCAAATACTCAACATTCACATATTTTCTTTTGAAATTGTGAGAAATTTTCTCCTCCTTTCGAATAACTTCTGTGGCTTTTCTCTGCACTCTGTCCAATTTTTCAACATTCTTTTAAAACTGTGGATACTGGAGCAGGACTCAGTATTCCAGTATCCCTTGCAAAGGGGAGATTACCACTGTACACTCCTCGTGTCATGAGGAGTGTCTGATCATGTCACTCCAAAGGAGTGGACAAAGTGCTTTTTTCCCCCTTTTTTGGTCATGGCAACACATCTCAAGATGCTTGCCTACTGTAATTACTAAGTTCTGAGGTATTTTTTCGTAGGATTTTATTCTGTAGGTCCTTCCTGCAGATGCCAAATGTACTTTGGTTGTAAAATACACAGCCTGACTGAATTGAACTAATTAATTATTTTTAATTATCGAAGAGCACAGCTGCCCTCTCCTCAGTATTTAGTTTCAGAATTCTTGGTGACATACATAGAGACTTGATGGAAACGTTGAATACTGTTGAGTCTGAATCTGTTGTGTATAGTGAGACTTTCCCTCTAGTGGAAAAAAGGTTTGTGAGATGAGAACCACAGCTCTTGTTGGCAGCTGCAGGAGCACAGTTAGAGCCATCAGCTCAGAGCTGGAGAGGGGATACTTGGAGAAACTGTGAAATGACATTTGTTTTCTAATGCCTCTGTTTATGTAAAGGTTTTATCTCTGCAAACAAGAAGTTATATAATTAAAAGTGCCATAACCAGTTGATAGGATTCTAATTTGGTTTGGTGTCTTCAGTGCTAGATAACATCTGTCTCAGTGAGCTTGAACAGGGATAAAAGGTTGGTTGGAGTTTCTGAGACCCTCAGTTTGCTTTTGTTTCTTTACTGTTTGATAAGACAGGTTGGGTCTTGCTGGGCTCATGACATCTGGACATGTGAGTTGGAATAGCAATGAGCAGGGATTCCTCTCTGATTCCTTGGGAAAGTCCCCCTTTTAGTGAGGATCAGGCCCCAGTGATGCCTCACACATTCCCCAGGTACACTGAATTTTGATAACCAGCAGTTGCTGAGCCAGTACCCTCAAATAGTGGTTTTCTCTGTGAATAACACAGCACCAGGAACTTGCAGGTTTTGCACTTACTTTCTAAAGCATTGTCTGATCATGGCTGGAAAAACAGGTGTTTTGGGAGTGGATGGTTGACACTGGGCTTTTCCAAGGCTTTGTGCTGTGTAACTGGAACACAGCCATGGGATTCATAGCCAGGGAGTAAGTTTAGATTTCTGTCTTCAGTCTTCTGGCCTGACTTCTAAAATGATAAAAAACCATGAGTAAGTGAAGGAGCAGGATCAGGAAGTGAACCTACCTTGCATGTGTGAGAAGGGAGTCAAGTAGAACAGTTTGTCTTTGGATTGTAATTAATGTGATTTTTTTCATTTTATGGTGGGAGTTGGCATGTTCAGTGTGGTTTTGTTGTGTGTTTGGGTTTTTTCTTTAACTCAGGCCTGTAAGTTGCCCAGCAATCTTGTGTACAGGTTCTCTTTCCATCCCTTTTGGCTCTGATAATATTCACTTCTCCCTGATTTCGTGTTCCTCCAGGATGTTTGTGCTGAACTGCCATTTCTTGGTTCCTCCACCCCGACCTCACCTGTTATTCCATTCCCATGGTAGTCCTGTGTTGTGGTTTGGGAGTGGTATTCCCAGTTTAATGGCAGTGTGCAGATAGTGCAGTGTCCATCCAGACCAAATGTTTTAAACTTGTGAAGGATGCCCTGAGTAACACACTGAACATTCCCTAATGGATCTCCACTGTGTTTCTGCTATTATCTTAAACCCTTGATTTTTTTTTTCTCAAATCTGATCAGGTAAGTCTTGTATGATATAATTATTACTGTGCTAAGAGCTGCCATTCAGAATTCTTCCTTCTGTTAATGAGCCTGTTTTATGTAAGGCATGGTGGCATAATCACCTGAGCACCAGTGACATGTGCAGCACGTGGAGCACTGAATTGTGTGTAGCAAGTTGTTCTTCTCTGCTTGGAGCAAAACAAGAGTTTTCTGAATGTGTTGCTGTGCATATGTTCTAAAGTGTCTGCTTGAAACATCAGTTTTAGGCAGTGAATAGTAAAGATCTGTGTATTCTTACAATACAGGCAGCTGTTACTCATAGAAATGGCACAGGGTGTGCAGGTTTGTACAGTGAAGGGCTCAAAAATTTGTAGAAAAGCCCCTGAGTGCTGATGTGAGAGAGAACCAGGAGTTCCTGGAGTGCTCAAGTTTGACATTCAGGTTACTTCAGTGCCAGCTGAGGTAGAACAGCTTTAGTCAGTCTTTATGCTGCCAGTCCTTTAGTATGAACCCAGCAGAGATGGAATGATGTGTGCAGAGGCTGCCCTGCTGCTTTGTGTCTCAGGTCACAGCCCAGTGCACACTGATCCTGGGCAGTAATCTTGCCCTTCTTTTGTACAAGTGATCAACTCCATAGAAAGTGGGGAGGCATTGCTCTGGTTCTTGTTCTACCCTTCTGTGTTGTCACTTCTAATAAAAGGAAGCCAAGAATCATCATTTAGTAATGCTAATGATTTTATTTTTTTAGGATCTGGTCAACACTGGACTCAGCACTTTCTTCTTTTTCATTGCCTCTGTAGTACTTGCTGCTTTAAACCATAAAACTGGAGCAGAAATTGCTGCTGTGGTAAGAGTTTGAACTTCTTTATATCTAACTCATATCAAAACTAAAGATTAACTTTTACTCATTAATTGAATACACCTGTTGCCTTTGCCATCACAATTTACTTCTAATTTTACAGTTTGCTATAAGATAATTCTTATTTTAAGAGTATTAACGTCCTTTGAGCTGTTTATCTTAAGGCTTGAGGCAAGAACAAACAGAACAGTGGCTTGCAGAGAACACTTTACAGTTGAACTGGCCTTGCTTCTTTCTCTATAGCCAGCTTAGATGATCCTGCTCTGTTTTTTAAGCCTATGGAAAAGATAGACCCAAAAATTCAGAAGAAGTTGCAGTTGTTTACGCATAATTTGCTGAGTATTTGCTCACTACAGATGATTTTTTGTTTTGTGGAGTGAGTATAGAAGCCCTTCAAGGTTTTAAATCTACAGCAGTCAGTTCAAGCAAGTTAATTTTGTGCTTGAGATGGCAAGCTTTTTAATTTCCTTTTCAAACCTGGTTTTGAAAATCATACATCAGCTCTGCAGAAGCATAAAGGAAGAACTGCAGAGTAGCTCCTTCTCCAGGCCAGTGGCCTGGACTGGTCACCTCCTGTCGTTCCCTCACTGTTGTGCACCCTCAGGAATGAGCTGTTGGATGAAGAGCTGCTTCCTTTACAAGAGGGTCTTCCTCCAGGATTTAATTGTCATGTTGGTAGTCAGGGAACTTTGTTTCCTGGGATCCTTGATCTTAGTCACTTTGGCAGATTCTCTAGTTCACTGACGAAGAAAAGCATCAATTTTGCAGGCCGTGATGATTTGTCAGTGCAAATAATGCAGAAAACTAAACTTCTGAGGACTTGGTTGGGAAACTGCTTTTCTTCTTGTTCTCAAAAACCGTCTTTGACAAGTCTTTGTCCTTGCTGTAGGTGTTTGGTTTCCTGGCAATGGCAGTGTATGCTGTGAACACGTTCCTGGCTGTTAGGAAGTGGCGAGTGAACAGGCAGCAGAGCAGCCGACAGACCAGCGACTACATCCGTGCTCGGACAGAGTCCAGGGAGGTCGTTCATCGCCCGGAGATCCAGCGCCTGGACGCGTGACAGACCTTCCAGGGGGGCTGCAAAGGGAAAACAAGTGCTTGACTCCCTCATGGAATAAGGGTTTTTTCTGTATTTACGGAGGAAAAGGAAGATCAGAGGGTGGCAGAGGATGCCCAGCCCTGTGTGTGTGCCGTCGGGTCAGGAGCTGTTGGCTGGAGGCAGGAAATGGTCATTCAAAAGGAAGATCCGTTCAAGATCTCTACATATGTATATGCATATATTATATAGCTTATATAATATATTTTATATATATGTTTTGAAGTATGTTACTGTTCTGGATTGACTGCACAGTGGTTTCCTTCCCTCTCTGGAGCTCCGTGTTCTTCGTCTGCCGCAAACACTCGGGACCAGCACCCCCAGCACGCCTGGCTTGGCTCACACGGGAGAGGAACCCACCAGAAGTGATTTCATACCCCCAGGAGGAGGTGAGGGGCAAACAGCAATAACTTCAGCCACGTCCCCTGTCCAGCAAACTGTGTCTGCCCATCCCCACAGAGCCCCATCCGCAGGAGCTCCCGTGGCACACTCGGCTGGAGGAGCTGGAAAGCATTCCTGGTGTTTGGGGTGGGTCCTGTGCCCACTGCAGTTCCTGTGTGTTTGGGGTGGGTCCTGTGCCCACTGCAGTTCCTGTGTGCCCCTGGCCAGCTCTGAACTCGTGTGCAGTTGCTGGGGGTCCTTGGGATGCACCAGTGCAAGGAGGTGGTTCTGTGCTAATGGTGGGATATGTTCTCTTTTTCATTCCAAAATGGGAGACAGGTGGAGAAAAGGGGTTTGAAGGACACAGTAGAGAAAGAAAGGGTTGTCATCCAATAGACTTAATTCCAGCTATGGCTTTTTTTTTTTTTTTTCCCCCTTTTTTTTTTTTTATTTTAAGGTTCAACATTTCTAGAAGTTCTTGCTAGAGAACTTGCTTTCTCTTCAAGCCCAGGGTAAGCAAGAACTAGCAAAAAATTATGTGCTTATAAAGTGTTTCTAAGGTTGCAAAGTCGTGATTCATGTAAGAGAAATATTTCTTTTTGGAAGGATGGTGGTTCTAAAATTAAAACCATTGGTAGTAGGTAAACCTGATTTCATTTTTTTTGAAGTAGATGTTTCTGCAGATTTTTCCCCAAAATGTTTCTTTGGAAAATGAATTTAGCTAATTGGAAGATAATATGGTTGTATTGATTTGTTTAGAAATAGTTTTACCTAACTGAAATTTTCTTATTTTGATTGTACTTCCAGTGAATGAATTACATTTTTCTTTACTTAAACCTCAAATTCTGTTCCTAATAATACTGTAATATTATTAGGAAGACGTCTCTTGATATTTTTCTGTTTCTTTGCTTGGTGTTTTTGTCTGTGTAATTCATTATTTGGCATTTGCCTGCCTGCATGTCACATGAAGACATTGTGGGGGAGGAGATGTCTGGAGCTGAATTCCTTTCTGGTGTGAGGAATATGAAAATCCATGGGATTAGTGGGACTGAGTGACTGTCTGCCATGTATGCCTGAATCTGTGTTCTGATGTAGCTGTACTCTGCAGGTACCTGGAGCCTTAAGAAATAGGTTGTGTTTTAACCATGAAAACCAGGTTACACCAACCAGGAGATCAGTAGAGGTGCCTGGGATTTTTAATGCTGGAGGGAACTGGGGTAGGGACAGGTGTGACCCTAATTCTGCAGTGTTCAAATTGAGAGCAGAGATTTATCTTGATGTGTGGGGAAAAAAGGTGACAGAGGTGATGTCTTTGAATTTTCAGTGCACTGACATCTGCAATACATTTCACTTGGGTGGCTAAGATGGAGATTAAAATTCAGAGTTACTGATGGTTTTAAAGAAAATTTGTATTTTCTTAGTGAGCAGTGGTTTATCAGTTCTGTAGTAACATTTTATTGTGCTTTGTTGGAAGTTAATGCCAAAGGGGTCAGTTCAAAAGAAGATTGAATCCTGTAAGCCTGGTGCTGGGTTTAGAACAGAGGCATTTTATTGTGGGGGTGTCTCACCAGGGTTGCTGTGCATTCCTTGAGCAGGAAATGACAGTTCCATGTTCAGTGGTAAGAGTTTGTTATTGCCAGTGGAGTTGTTCCAGCCCTGTGTTTGTCAGCACTGCCTGGCACAGTTTGCAAGGAGAGCTTGGAGATACTTTTGTAGAGAGTTTGTGTGTAGAGATTTGGTCAATTTTTAATAACTGGCAGTAAAAAACCTAAAGAACCTTTTTAAAAGTAGCACAAGCATACCTGGACTGGAATTGTAAACTGGCATTAAAGCAGTTTGTATAAGGACTGTAAAAAACCCCAAACAAAACAAAAAAAAACAACCCAAAACATCCCCCACCAAATCCAAAAGTGAACCCAAACCACCTACTAAATACAAAATATCGTTCTCCAGAAAATCCATGTGTTTGGAGTGGAACTCCCACCTGAAATCAAGGAACACAAGTTGGGGGATGTGTGGCAAAGGCTTTTTGTCCCTTTGCTGGCTGATGGCAGTGATGGGATGGAGGATTCCTGGGTCCCCCCCTGTGCTCCCTGGGCTCATCCTGGTTGTGGCAGAGCTGTGGGAGGCCTTGTCCCTCTATAAATTTAGGAATTTGGTGTCTTTCAAATCCCTGCACGTTTCCTTGCCTAGAAAAGGGATGACTTCACTGAGTTTTCCTTGGAGTGAGGTCACAGTTACCTTTTAGCTGCAGTGACAAGTGCAGGAGTGGTACAGTTACACTTCCAATAAAGTGTAATCCTTGGGCACCTATTATAATATACTGGAATGGCTTTGAGGGCTTTTACATGTTTTCTTCAGCTGAAAATGCCATTATTTCCATCATGACTTGAGCTTAGCAGAGCATTAATTTTAAAATTACTGATTCACTTTGTAAAACAAAAGCAACTGTAAATCTGTAATTTCTTTATATTTGGGACCAAAGATGATTTTAGTATTGTACAGAATATACTTTCTAGAAGATCTTAAGCACTTATTACTCTGCAGAGACATTATTTTCTATTTGGATTATATAGAAGGGAAATAAAATAGCTGTGAGAGACAACTAAATTTGAAATATTAGGATCATTTGATGTATACATGGTTCATTCCTCCCTGACTTAATTTTACACAGAGGTACTATTTTAAGACTGTTGTCCAAACTGCAGTCATCACAAAAAATCTTATGAGAAGAAAATAGGATAGAAAGTTTTAATTTTTTTTTAACTTGTTTAGAAAAGTGACATTAAATTGCTTCTCTCAGCCAGTTAGTCTTGCTTATAATTGCTAGCACAGAGGGATAGATTTTTTTAATCCTTAAAAGTGCTGTTTATCTCCATAAAGGGACTCAAAACCCACTGTAAATAGAACTAAATCAGAGCTAAACAGTTGAACCTTGTAGGAACGGGCTGCTTGAGACTGTAGCGGTTCAGATCAGTCCTCTTTGGTCCAACCCAGCCCTCAGACAGGGAATCTCTGTATTTCTGGGTGTAGAACTGACTGGGAATTTTGCCACCTATGCACAGATATCAGAATATTAAACAATAGGATCTGACTGGAGCAAGAGCCTAGGAATGGTTGTACAGCATTGCAGGAATCTGTACTTTCCTGCTCTGTGTTCAGCTCAGCTCTGTCAGGCTCAGCTGTGTGTCACACGTCCTTGTGCTGTGCAAAGGCTGCACCAGGAATTCCTGAACCACAGGCAGGAGCTGAGGGAAGAGTCTCAGCAAAGCTGATTCCTTCCTCCTGCCCCCGTGTTCCCTGGATTTGTACATTGGTGCCTCATGGATCCAATGCTTTCATAACAATTCCTGTTCAGCCTTGTCGTTGCTCTGGGCAGGGTCTGTGTCAGGAGGAGCAGCACCCAGTGTCCCCATCCCTGTGACTCTGGGGCTCTTTCCTTTCCTGCTGGTTTGTGAGGCTGGCTGTGCTGGGGAAGTGTTCTCCATTCCCGTGGGATTGTGGAAGGGAGCTGGTGTTCTCCATGTGTTTAGGACTTCTGGTAGAAGCCACACACTTAGAGGTTGAGAGAATTAAAGATTCTCTCTCTGCCTTTTTTGTGAGACAAGGTCCCAGCTCCAGAGCTCCCATGTCTGTGTTTCATCCTGGGCTCTGTGTTGGGAAGCACAGCAGCAGCAGTGCTCTGTGCCTTGGAAGCAACTCCTCATCCTTCACCTGTAAGATGCCTCTTCCAAAGCATTTCAGTGAAAGGATCAGTGTGTGGTGCTGCTTCCCAGGCTCTGTCCCCTGTGTTGCCCTGTGCATCTCAGAGTTCTTCCCTTTGTCTGTGTTTCGTTGTTGATTCCACAGAGGAAGGGAAAGTTTCCACTCTTCCCTAAGATAATTGTTTAGTTTTCTTTCTTTCATGACTGTTGTCCCTTCCTAACACTTGGGGTTCTTGCCATGCTGTGGATCCCAGCAGCAGAACTGAAGAGCTCCAGGCTGCATTGGGACTGTTAGGAGGGAATGAACCACTAGTTTTTCATGAACTTTAATGTCCCTACATGAATTTGGTATTTGTCACCTCTGTGCTATTTAGGGCATGTGCAGGCACAGCAAATGCTTACCCAATATGTGGTTTTATTGATGCAACCTTTTCCCCCTCTTCCTTAGTCTTGTTCTATGTCTGTTGTTTTCTTGTCTCATGAGAACTTTGTAAACATTTCTTCTTGTTTTCTTTTGTGAGGAAAAACTCTCACCAAAAATCTAAAATAAGGAAGTTTTTAGGGCATAATTAAAAACCAAACCCAAACTTAATAGCAATTCAGATAGTGTAGAAAATAATATCCTGTGTCCTGCTCAGCTGAGACACTGAACAGCTTTGTGCATGAAAGAGTATAAAGAACAGTTCTTGTGCTGGAAGCTCTGGAGCCAAACATCCTCAGCAGGTATTTAGGGTAAATGAAAAGGTAGGGACCATCTGATTGGGAATATGAGATATGAGAATGACTCTTAGCAATCCAGTCCTTTCAAAGTGATATTTGAACAATAAAAATCCCAGCAGCAGAAGGAAAGATGCTTCTGCAGTTCTTAAAGGAGAGGCAGACCTTGGATCAGAGGTGTTTGCTCAGGAGGGCTCTGTCTGAGCAGACAGAGGTGTCCTGGGCATGGATTTTAATTTAAAAATGGTACTGAAATCAGTACAAAAATCAGAGGGATGTTTGAAAGTACTTTGTAGAAATGATGCCGTATTCCTCTCTGTGGTTTTGTATAAATTCATTTTAACCAAATACTCAGGAAATCTCTGAGTTTTTTCCTGGTATATCATTTTCCCTCTTAGCATCTTGGCCACCTTGATAGATCTGTTTGACCAAGTCAGAGTGGTGCTGCCAACCTGAAAGGGTTTCCTTGTTTTGGTTCTTTTTTTTTTTTGTGTTGTCTTTTTTAAATCTGTCTATAATTTAACCATTGTATGGTAAAAATAATCTTTAAAAAATCTGCTTACACTGTGATTTCTGATAGCCTTTAATCAACACAATCTCATTTTCTTTTGGGATATGCAGGTTTCAAAAGTGTTCTTATATATGCCCAGAAATTAAAGTTGTCTATTTATCATAGGAATGTGATTAGGTAAATCCAGAATCCCAGTACAGCTCTTTCATATGTGCTGGATAGATGAGTTAGTTAAATTGCCTTTTAATCTCTATGGGTTAATAAATATTTTTTTATAACTAGCCACAGATAGTCCTTTTTAAATTATACTTGGCAAACAGAAGATATTTAATTTTATATACAATATACATAGTTACCATGATTGACATATTTATAACGTAGAGCTTTGTGTTTACAATGAAGGTTTTATGGGGGTTTTTTTGGTTTTTTTTTTTTTTTTTTTTACCCATGGACTTCATGGGTGAAACTTTAAAAAGCCAGTTAGCATATATGGGAGGATATGGAAACTATTTCTTGGATTCAGGATGAGGACATAGGAGCATTTCAAAAAGCAGTGGCCAGATTGTAGTAACAGAGTATGTGGGGGGTTTCTTATTTTTTGGTTGGGGCTGGTCCCTACAGCTGTTTTAATAACATCTGGATGTGAGTAACAGAATGGAATATGACCATCTGCCTCTTCTGACTGTCCCAGGCTATTGTGTGGAGTACAGGAAATTTCAGGGTATTGTATTGTTTTGGACAAATGTCTCAATAGACATATTTAATTAAAACCTTCATGTGTTTGAAAGAAAACACCCTCTCTGAACTAGGCTGATTTACCACTTTTGGTAACCTTTTAATCCCAAAAGTAGTACTGTCTAAATACTTTTAGTAATGTTACATCTGTCCTGATGTCTACTGGTTTAAGTGGTTCTGGCACCCTTTTATTACAACAATTGCTACCTTCATTTTTCTACTGTTTATACTTTAATCTTGAATGTTTACTGGTTTCTACTTGTTGGATATTGTGGAGGGAGAGTGTACCTTAGCACTACAGATCATCCAGCTTTAACTCATTCATCACAGTTCTGGAGTAAGGAAATATTTTGATTTATATATTGTGGCCAATCGATTGCATTTTAAAATGATTTCTGTACTTTAGGCACAACATTTATGACATAACGAATGACTTAGCTGATCATTATATCTGTCTAGACTTACTCTCTTCTGTGTTAGTGTCATTTTGAAACTATTTGTATATGTTGAAGTTTGTAAGGGTTCAGGAACCCACAATAAAATAGTAAAGTATGTATTTATTTCTCATTATAACGCTCGATTTTGATTTGAAAGTTGACACTTTGTACGTCTTTTCACAGAATTGTAAACAAATACCGAAAAACTGCTTCACCTGGGGTGCCTTCCGTGTCTGGTGTGAACACTTGTCACTCACAGAAATAGAGATGTAAATTTATTAAACCAGTCAGCACTATTTTTGTACCATGGGTCCCTGATGCATCTCTGCCTTCCCTGTGCTTTGTTCCCACCACCCCCAGTCCGTGGCTGCTGCTCGTCCCTTCCCCGTGGGCACTCCCAGGGAATCTGATCCCAGGGTGTCCCTTTGCCCTGCCCTGCCCTCAGCTGCACTGGGGATGGAGATCAAGCACGTGGCTGCTGGAGGTGGAAGGTGCTCCAAATTCTGTCCTTGAGGCTTGGGAGAGATGCTCGGTGTGGGAAGTCTCCGTCCCTGGGACTGATTCTGGGTCCTCTGCAGAAACACTGCAGGCCCAGCCTAAACATTCTCCTTCTGCTATCAAGTCATGGTTTATGGCACCTGAGGAGCATCCAGGCCTGACCAAAAGGTTATGCCAGGGCTGTAGGTCCTGTCCTGACAGATCTGTAATTGCAAACAGCTCGGAAGGATTAGCTGAGACAGCAGGTTCCACTTTCTGGCCTGAGCAAAGGGGATGCAGTTCCTGTTCCCATGTGAGCACGATGTGCTGTGTAACACCCTTGGTGCTTTGCTGTGGCAGTAAAACCTGTCCTGTGGAGTCCCAGCAGCTCTCCCTGCACATCTGGGTGCACGTGCAGCACTGCCTGGTGTCTGGCCCTGGGCAGGTCCCCTTGGCCTCGGGGGCTGCAGCTCAGGGGTCCCTTTCTCACCAAGTCCTGAGCGAGGACTTCAGGATATCACAGGTTAGCACATGTTCACACAGGGACAATTTACAGCCCTGGGGGGTTTCCCACTGCTTTGGTGAGTTCTGGAGGTTCTCCAGGAGCACTTGGCCAGTTGGTGAAGCAGCTGTTTGTCACAGTGGTGCCTCCAGCTGTGCCCTCTGTGCCCAGTGGAAGTGCAGCATCTTCCAGCTCTGTGTGTGAAAGTTGTTCTCTTGATGCTTGACCAATCTCAATACAGGAAAACAGAACCTCCACCTTGTTCCTATGCCAGTAACAATTTTTCAGTCTGTTGGTGTTTCTTTCTGTTGGTGTCTGCTAATGAAAAACACGAGCTGGAGAATTGTAATGTCTTGCAATACAGAAAGCAGTCCTGTTTTTAAAATCCATTCTGTTATAGCATAATTTAAATGGTGTATTTATCAGTTTTAAATGTCATTTTGGTTTCCCAGTCTTTTGTATATGGGCACAATACTTTTTGTAAATTTTTTTTTTTAGTTGTCTTTCTGTCTTTTCTTTCTGGTCTTGGAAGATTTGGGTTTTCACGGTACTCTTCTGATCATTCTTCATAGTGGTAAAAGTCTGTATTTTTGTATGTAGGGAAAATGGTAGTTTTCTAACACTTAGCCCAATCAATATAGTATGGAATCATTTGTGAAGGACTTCCTGTTTAATAAATGGACATATTAAAGTACTAAAGCATTGTCTGCATCTGTAAAGGTGTGCTGGGCTGGGCTGGAGGTTCTTTTCTTCCCAGTGGCTGGTGTGGGGCTGTGTTTGGGTTTGTGTTGATGATATAGAGGTGTTCTTGTTATTCCTGAGCAGAGCCAAGGCCTTTCCTGCCCCGTGTAGGGCCCTGCTGGGGAGGGGTGGGGTGTGTGGGAGGCTGAGAGGGGACACAGCCAGGACAGGGGGCCCCAGCTGACCACAGGGATATTCCAGACCATGGGACATCGTGCTCAGTGTGTGAAGTGGGGGAAGGAGGAGGAAGGGAGGAAGTTTGGAGTGATGGAGTTTGTCTTCCCAAGTCACTGTTCCATGGGATGGGGCCCTGCTCTCCTGGAGGTGCTGAAACACCTGCCCAACCATGGAAAGCAGGGAATGAATTCCTTGTTTTGCTTTGCTTGTGCACACAGCTTTTGCTCCACATTAAATTGTCTTTATCCCAAGCCACAAGTTTTCCGGCTTTTCAGCCTTGCAATTCTCTCCTGATCCCAGTGAGTGAGAGAATGGCTGTGAGGGCTTGGGGGCTGCTGGGGTTAAACCACCCCAAAAGGCACCACAGTGCAGCCAGTGTTGTGGTTGATGGGCTGATAATGCACTTTGGGCAGCTGCTGAATGCACTTTCCATCCAGGAGAGTGGCACAGGGGTTAAACCTCCAGCACAGGGGTTAAACATCCAGCACAGCTACCCCAGCTGAGGGGGTTGGGACTGGGGCATGAAAACCTCATGGATGCAGGAGGTCATGAAAAAACATGGATGAGAGCCCTTGATGAGATGTCAGATGTAAGAGAAAGCACACGGACTCCTTTGTTGCTCAAGTGGTTGTGGTGGGGTTGCTCTGGGAGCATTTCTCTGTCTGGGACATTGCAATGGGCTGGAATGCTCTGTCTTGTGCTTTGCAGCATGTTTGGGACTGGAGAGGAATTTTAGGGCTGAAATGCCCCAGTGAGTGGGGAATATCTGACACCTCATGGGCTCTGGGTTTCAAGTTCTGCCTTGATGCTGATGGAATTTTTGGTCTTCATGGGCTTTGGAGGTGAGGGTGGAAACACACAGGTGGTTGAGTATCGTGAGAGGATTTGGGAATATGGATGATGCAATCAAAACACTGATTAGGGATAGGTCCTGTACTGACAGATCTGTAATTGCAAACAGCTCTGAAGGATTAGTTGAAATAGCAGGTTCCACTGTGGGGAGAGTATCTCAGTATAACAATATTACTTAGAGATATATGTAACAATATAACTTAGAAATTAAGAAACTTCAGGTGGAAGTGTGGAAAAGAACAGGCATCACCCTGGGGGTCCTTGGTCCAGAGCAGCTCTGCCAGTTGTCAGATTTTAAAAAGTTTATTCTCTCTAACTTTTGAATACTTCAGTCTCCTGGGAAGACTAATGGATTTCTTATTCATGGATCAGGCTAACACAGCGTGCTGGACAGAATATATAAAATGTCCAAAATATATAAAATAAAAGCACAGGTGTTTCCTGGACAGAATTTATGCTGGAATCGGTATTTTCCTCTTCAAGGAAATAGATTTAAAAATTGACTTATTTAAAAAACACCAAACTAAAACCCCAAACAAAACCACACATAAATTGTAAATATTCTGGGTAGCATTGTTTTACCATCCGACCCAGAAGTTTTACAACACATTGAGTCCTATGAATTCTTCCAGTAAGGAGGAATCTCTGTTGCTGTGAGGATTTTTTGATGCAGTCCTCTTTATATGAGCGGTGACTTTTAAAGATCCTGACTTTGAAACCAATATTCTCTGCAAAAAGGTATCTTGAGCATCTTGTTACAAGATTCACCTTCTCAGTGCTTACCTAAATGTCTTCTGCTTCCTTGATCCATTCTCCTCCCTCTCCGGAGAACAAAGCATGGCCAGGCGGAGCTGCTGTGCACTTTGCTGATACAGATCTTGCATTTGCTCTTGCAGGGCAGTTTGTATCCCGGTCCCGATGTGGAATGAAGCCTGACTGTATTATTTTTAACCTGCAGGCTGCCTGCTCTGGGCTCAGCTCAGCAGCAGTGTGGGTGTTTGCTCAGTGGTGTTTTGGAGGTGCAGGAACACACTGTCGGTCTGTGGTCACCAGTCCATGGTCACTGGGTGGCACAGGCTGTGCTCCCTGAGCAGGGTGAGTATTTCTCTCAAACACTGCTTTTCACTGGGTGTCCTGGGAGTGGCTGTGTCCCTGGGAAATGGAAGACTTGGAGAACTTTGGACAGGATCAGGTGAAAAGCAAAACAAAGTGAGGTGATGGACAGAGTGCTCAAAGCACAACAGAGCCTCTTAGTTCAGGCAGAATTTAAAAAAGCTGCTTGGAAAGGTCTTGAATTCCTTAATGTCACCTGTCCAAAAACCACCACACAAGACTGAACAAGTCCACAGATAAATATAAAAGGTTTTTGAGAGGAGAAGGAGGGTGAGAGCCCTTCAGCCAGTGTGACTGTCTGAACCACTCCTCTGTGGGGCCAGCCGGGCGTTGTCCCCCGTGAGTGGCTTTGTCTCAGTGTTCAGACCATAAAACGTCTGGCACTGATTCTCCCCCGATTTTTCCACAGTTGGTGTTGGAAGCTCTGAGCACTGCTGAGAGCTGGTCAGGAATTCCAAGGGGCAGCTGTAAGGAAGGCAGGGACTGGGCTGTGTGGGTTTGGGAAGCGGCTCCCACGTGGAACTCTGGAAAGAGATGTTTGATGAGGCCACTGCTGGCACACTGCAGTAAGGCTTTAATGAAGGGCTGCACACCGCAGGGGCAGCTTGTGTTTGTCTCAGGACACCCAAACTGCAGAGAAATCAGTGCTCCCAGAGCTGTTTGGACCTTGTCAGTTGAGGAAAACAAGCAAACAAACATAAAAGCCAAAAAAGCCAAGGTGATTTGTCCTCTGCTCTGCACAGACTCTGGTCTTGGTGCAATATTGCTGGCAGAAAATGGGCAATAGACTGACTCAGTCCCCACCTCCCCCCATCAAAATTGCCTTTAAAGTAATTATTTTTAATTTAATTTTATGAAACGATATTTGGAAAACACAGAACTGTGTTTTACTTCAGTCATGGGAACAGATCTTTTTAAATAAAAGGCTGGAATCCTACACAAGTGCTTGACCCTGGGAGCAAACTGCTTAGAAATGAATGAAATCATCAAGTACTTAAAAGCCAATAACGAGTTCTCTGGGCAGGCATTTCACTGGTAAAGCAATCCTGAAGGAACGAATGAGCCACTTTGTTTGCTGCCTCTGTTGACTTTAGGAGTGATCCAAGGTGAAAAAATGACCAGAAAACCTCAGTATATTTTGGGTTATAGTGAGTGTGAAGGGTGAACCCAAGGGGACTGTTTTTACAGTGTTATTAGTTGCCAGGTGAGAGCTCTGTATCCCCAAGGTCTCAATATGTAGAAACTAATTCTTGGTTCAGTTCTTTCATGGTTATGCCCCGAAGATGATGTTTTCCTCAGGAGCTGTGGGAGCAGCTCGGGTTGGTCCCCCTGTGCTCTGCCACCTCCCCAGCACACAGTGATGGAGTTCCTTAAATCACTGATCCCTCTGCTGGGCAGAGGCAAGGCAGTAAAATCAGGTCTTAAAATAAGTAAAGACACTCAACATTTCTATGAAAAGAGGTTTAATCCAGGGTGGTTTCTAAATATTAACCATGTACTAGTTTCCAGATGTGACATGCAGTACATTTTGTTTTAATTAAAAAAAAAGAGAAATACAAAATGAGTATAAAAACAAGCCCAGGTCCCCTGATGTCACAGTGTGTGTCAGTCAAATATGACAACAAGAGAAAGAAACACAGGATTTCATACAGGAAAAGGTCCAGAGAGGTCTTTCTTATAAAAGTAGAGGTGATTTGTCACATTTAGAATTAACCACTTGTTTTGCTTTTATTCTCAGTGGTCAGGAAACAGGAGATGGAGGAGCTGCCTGAGGACAACTCCAATCTGACCAGCACCTTCCCAAGCCCCTGCTCCCTGTGAGGTCCCGTGTGCTGCTGGCAGCAGCCAGCTGCTGCCAGGGAACTGGAATCCAAGTGGTGATTTTATTCCAGAGGAAATCTGCTGTCATTGTTTTATCCCTGTTTTTCATTTACTCTGTTAGTACCATCTGCTCTCATTTTAGTTTTTGTAAAGGCCACCTGTTCTGGTACTATATTAATTTTTTAAAAATATATACATATTTCTTTGGCACAGAGCTGTCTGCTGCCATCTGTAAGGAGATGCCATGCTCTTCCCGAGCACCATGTGTCTGTAGGTGGATACAAACATTTCAAGGTAGGCTGTGCTACTTGTGAAAATACCTTGTAAATTCAGAAGGCTTTTTCCCTGGATTACAGCACCACAATAAATCCTGGCCTTCCAGGGGAAAAAGCCCAACCCAACCCCCCCCTTCCCACTGAGGAAAGGGGTCTGGGAAAATGAACTCATTGCAGACTTTCTGTATTTGGGGCTTGGTTTCTTTGCCTTCTCACAGAGGGGGGGATGCCCTGCCCTCCTGGGGCTCAGGTTTCCCAAGTGTGGCAGAACCAGTTCCCTGTTTTGCAAAGCCATGGCCCAAGTGCAGTGCTGGTGTTGGGGGAGCAGCAGTGCCCCCGGCACAGAGCAGAGCTCTGTCTGTGCACAGACACCTGCAGGCTCCACTGGGCAGATCCTGCTGGGTTGGCAAGGCTGCCTTCCCTGGCTGTGCAAACACAGCCAGCAGGAAAGGGGCTGGGAAGAGGCTGGGAAGAGGCTGGCTCCCCTGTCCTGCCTCGTCTCGCTGGTGAAATGGCAGCAGATGGGATGTGACTCCATCCAAGCAGCTTAAAGAGAGTGATTGTGAATGTTTGATGAGCCAGCTGCCTGCAGCAGTCAGACTGAGGTTTGCTCTTGCTGCAGATTTCCAGTTGTCACTTCTGGTCACAGATAGGCAGCAGATATAAATGTACTGAGTTAACTGTAATCCAGGCCTTCAGTGCTTCTGAGTGGAATACTCA